AACCGTTCCTGAGGATGGCCCCTGTTGGCCGTATTGGCCTGACCACTAAGCTTGGGAATGCTTATGATGGCAGCTCCCGAACCGTTCCGAACCGTTCCGAACCGTTCCGAACCGTTCCTGAGGTTGGATCTATAGTCGGCCTAGATGGAACGGTTCGGAACGGTTCGGAACGGTTCGGAACGGTTCGGGAGCTGCCATCATAAGCATTCCCAAGCTTAGTGGTCAGGCCCGGCCAGGCCAATACGGCCAACAGGGGCCAACCTCAGGAACGGTTCGGAACGGTTCGGAACGGTTCGGAACGGTTCGGGAGCTGCCATCACAAGCATTCCCAAGCTTAGTGGTCAGGGCAATAGGGCCCAACCTCAAGAACAGTTCGGAACGGTTCGGAACGGTTCGGAACGGTTCGGAACGGTTCGGGAGCTGCCATCATAAGCATTCCCAAGCTTAGTGGTCAGGCCAACACGGCCAACAGGGGCCAACCTCAGGAACGGTTCGGAACGGTTCGGAACGGTTCGGAACGGTTCGGAACGGTTCGGGAGCTGCCATCATAAGCATTCCCAAGCTTAGTGGTCAGGCCAGTAGGGCCCGACCTCAAGAACGGTTCGGAACGGTTCGGAACGGTTCGGAACGGTTCGGAACGGTTCGGGAGCTGCCATCATAAGCATTCCCAAGCTTAGTGGTCAGGCCAATACGGCCAACAGGGGCCAACCTCAGGAACTGTTCGGAACGGTTCGGAACGGTTCGGAACGGTTCGGAACGGTTCGGGAGCTGCCATACTAGCCAACTGGCCTAGCTGGCTGGCTGGCTGGCTGGCTGGGTGGCTGGCTGGCTGGCTGGCTGGCTGGCTGGCTGGCTGGCTGGCTGGCTGGCTGCTGGCTGGCTGGCTGGCTGGCTGCTGGCTGGCTGGCTGGCTGGCTGGCTGGCGGCCGGTTGGCCGGCTGGCCGGCTGGCCGGCTGGCCGGCTGGCCGGCTGGCCTGGCTGGCTGGCTGGCTGGCTGGCTGGCGTGGCTGGCTGGCTGGCTGGCTGGCTTGGCTGGCTGGCTGGCTGGCTGGGTGGGCTGGCTGGCTGGCTGGCTGGCTGGCTGGGCTGGCTGGCTGGCTGGCTGGCTGCTGGCTGGCTGCTGGCTGCTGGCTGCTGGCTGGCTGGCTGGATGGTTGGCTGGCTGGCTGGCTGGCTGGCTGGCTGGCTTGGCTGGGAAGTGGGGAGGGGAGGGGGTTGGGGGTGGCACACGGTTGGCAGAGCAGGGGGTTGGCCCCCATTGACACAGCCAGCCAGCCAGCCAGCCAGCCAGCCAGCCAGCCACTTTGTGATGCCAATGATGCCAATACCCATACCATGCCCTACCCGTACGTCTGTGGGTGGGTGACAAAATCTGGACTGACTTCTCTGGAGAAAAAAAGGTTCGGGTTGAGGTCCAGGTTCTGGTTTAGGAGTGTTGGCATGTTTGCATGTGACAGGTGGCAGCGAGCTGACGTACGTAATATATTAATATAATTCATCGTCAGAAACTTAACCATAGTATCATAGTCTCATAGACTCATAGACTCACAGTAGTATATACTATCAACGCAGTATTGAAAAACACAGTAAGTGTATACTGTATAATGTATAATGTATATTTTGTAATAATATAATATTATATAATATAACATAATTAATTTAATGTATTTTAATTTATCGATATTGATATTGCTACACATTATTTGTGTTCTCTTAGTACTTAGTACTAAGTACAGTCTAAACAGAACTATATTATTATATTATATTATATTATATTGTATTATATTCATTTGACTCAGATGTATTATAATTACTCTATATATAGACACACATCTACTGATCACCTACTTATATAAATTGAGCATCTAAATAATATCATATAATTCATATAATATAATCATATAATTTAGTAGTGTAAATTATAAATATTATATAATGTACATACAAACAATACAGACGTAAATCATATATTCAAAATAAAATAACTAACTAATTTAGTTACTTAATATGTTTTATATTTAAATTAAATGAATTATAATAAACTCCTGACTCTGACGTTGATTCTGACTATGACTGCTACGTCGCCTCATATGGTAACTGTACTGATACCCGGACCGCAGGGGAGTGGTACAATAGGGCTTTGACAGGTTTCCTTTGGTTTGGGAAACCCGAGATATGAGGTCAGTGAGAGCTAGTAGTCGCAGAACTTGGGAAATGAAACTTGTGAATACAGCCAAGACAACTGTGAATACACTAGAGACTAGAGTCAGCAGAGCAGGCTGTTTGCTAGTTTGAATGTTGTACATTACATTACAATGACTCATGGCCTCATGGACCATGGCAATATCGACGAGTACCGAAATAGCTTGCGCAGGTGATGTGCATTCGATGCTGAGTAAACATGCACAACACTCACATCCCGAAACTGTCCGCTGACTGTCGAGTCTAGCCTAGCCTAGCCTAGCCTATAGCCTAGCCTAGCTGTGTGCGTCCAAGTGCAAGGGAAGAGGATCCCCTTCGGACACATCCGCACCATAAAGTTGCGCGGCATCCTGCACGGAATTTGCTGACCGACAGAATGCGAGTTTGAGTAGGTGACATGCACAGAATGCCAAGCTTCATGCATCCGACCTGCTGATTGACCTCCCAGTCGTGACTGCTCCCGTCCACATAATCGAAAAGGTCTGTGACTTTGGAGTCACCCAAAGCCGTCCGGAACTTCTCAAGAATCATGCTCACCTGCTCCTTAACTTATGTAGCCTGCAATGCATGCAGCACACCCTTGCCCTTGACAGACCTGAACAATGACAATGACTCAAACTCCGGGTGACTCAGACTCTCAATGACCGCCGAAGCAGCATCAAACGAGAGCACCCCTTGCACAACACATATTGGTCACTGATCACTGATTCACTGATCACTGATAGCTTGATAACTCATCATCACCGAGTTCTGATAACTTATGATAGCTCTGACAAGTGATAAACTCACACACTGAGTCTCATGGTCAGGCACATTGTCAGTCGTCATGTGATAACGATACAATGATCAATGATAATGGCAAGTCTTGAGGCAAGTCACGTGAGCCAGCGGGGCCCGTTCAAGGAGGTCGTCACGAATCATCAAGATGTAGATGCGGCGTCTCAATTGCGGGAGGCCGTAGTCGCTGGACCTAGCGGTTCCACAGGGACGTGACATACTCTATATCAATATCTCTGTGTTTCCAGATATTAGTTGTTACTTTCCTCTCAGGCCGCGCACTGCTTGCCAAGTCCAACAGCACATCAGGGAATCCGAATCTGCATAGCTGCGCTGCATATCACAAAGCCACAAAACCCACAGACACAGACTGTGAATGTGACTTGACTTGACATGACTATTTTTCTGGACTGAAACACTGAGACCGAAACTATGACTATGACTCGACTCTAACTCACGGAGACCTTTACTTTGAATATGACACAGGACTGGACCAGGACCATGACTATGGACTATGACTATGACCTATGACTATGACTATGACTCAATGACTCTATGACTAATGACTCTGACTATCTCTATGTCAATGTCTATGAGTCTATGATGATACTATGATCATATCATGACTCATGACTCATGACTCATGACTCAATTATGATACGACTGTCTAGAAACAACTGTGGAGACTTGGTGCTACTGCGTTTATACCGGTGTGCAACCCACATGTCGGAACTGCTGGCAAGGCACTTCAAACAATGAACCTTGACCTGATACCCTCCGATTCGGTCCAGACCCAAAATCTCCTCCAGCCCGTTCTCGTGCACGAGGGTTCCGCGGAGCATGTAGTCCAAAGGGGTCTGCAGCAGGTGGGTGGGAAGCAAATCAACCGAATCAAGCTACGAGCAATTGCAGCAGCTGTCACAAGGCAAGTGCGATCGGGGCGATCGGTGTTTGGCTATATTTTCGCCACTCTCAGTATCCAATGCTGCCCATGCTCCTGTGGCAAACAGGACGCTCCACACTCTGAGCTCTAGGCTCTGAGAGACTTGCAACGTCCTAATTACATGCAGTGCTGCAACTCTGAGCGCGCCTACAAAGGGGTCTAGACGGTCTAGGCGGTCTAGGGTGATAGTAGGGCCCTGCATAAAGAGCTTAGCAGCGCGTTTAGTATCAGTAAAGCAGAGTTTGGTCGGTTTGGGATTAAGCTTTTTTTCCTGGGGTCGTTTTAAAATGTGACTCAACCGTTGGGTTTATGAATTTATGACTCATGACTCATGACTGCGTACCCAGACATCAACTGAGGCGGAACTCGGCAGAACAATGACTCCATGATCCCACGACGACTGTGACTATGACTATTGCCAATTGCCTATTGCTGTTACTTTCATCATCACTACTATCTTAATTACTATTACTACTGATTACTACTATTAATCTATTAACTAATTAACTATAATAGACTATTACCTATTGCGCAAATCAAGTCTGCAAACTGTTACTACTACTGTACTGACTACTGTATTGTATTACTACTGGACTGTAACACTGTAGGATTGTAACTACTGTACTACGAGACTAGCAATTTTACGACTGATTGTTGCCATTATCTATCACTGTTACTGTTACTATAACCCGGACGTGTTGCTGCAGTAGACACGAAGTGACCCCTTTGCAAACGGCTCAGCAGGTCCTGCTTCTGTGCTCGCGCACAAAGGAAACTGCCGGGGTACACTGACCCACCCGGCCCAGCCGCACGATGCAAATGAAGTCTGAAGACCAGAGACCAGACCAGACTGGACTAGAGTACTAGACTAGAGCTGAAACTCAGAAGATTACTTGATTGTCATTAGAATTGCATCCTGAATCATGAATCATACACAGAAAATATGCAGCAGGCACGTCGTATACACAAAGAATACAAAATTAGTCTCCATAGCTATACTAACTAGTCCATGAAAGATTGTGTTACTACTACAGATTGTCTCACAAGCAACACTGTAGATTGTAACACCGTGCCTGTCTACGCGGCTGGTTCAAGATCTCTCAAACTACGGAGAGCATCTTGACAAATGCCTTGCTCTGCTCTTGTCAAAGAGCCTTTGATCACATGCTGCTCCAAGAATCGAATTGAATTCGAAACATACTCTTCGCGCAGTTGCGCGAGACAGTGCAGATGAACCGAACGATGGGGTTTGCTTCTGCTGTATGCCACTCCAAAGCGGTACTCGCCTTTCTCAATATGATCATCACAGTGAAAACACTTCACTCCCTTGCGTTTCACAATTGCAAGGTCGCAAATGCCAAGCTCTTTCTGAAAATATGTGCTCTGAGAACTAGCAGGTACTTCTGAAGAAGAAGCAGCGGCCGATGCAGGTGCTGGCGGTGCATTGGAGGAGCTTGCAGGCTCCGACACAGGTGCATCCGCTAGCGTCTCCTCATCCTCTCCCAAAGCAGCTAAGTCAGCGGCGAGTGCCCGATCCAATTCTTCCTGTGCTTCTGGGCTGAGCACCGTTGGCCAAGCTTCCTCGGGATCCGCCTGTGACTGCAGCTTCTTTTTTTTCACCGACGAACCACACTGCTGATCATCATCAGTCTCCTGCGGTTTCCTCACTCTTTTCTTGGGTTCCACCAATGATGACATACCAAACGGTAACTTAGAAGGAGTGGATCTGTGCACAACTGCTGCATGCCCTGCCCGCTCCAAGCCGATAGGAAAGTTCGCCACCGGGGTGGAAGGAAGCTCGATGCTTTCATCGCGGATCACGAGATCACTGTAGATCTGAACCTGTTGTAAGTAGTAGTAGTAGTAGTAGTAGTAGCAGCAGCAGTGGTGGTAGTAGTAGTAGTAGTCGTCGTCGTAATAGTAGCTAGTACTAGCAATGTCGTTGATGCGGCTGCCGGTAATGCTAGTAACTAGTAATTCACATTCACATGACTCATGACTCCCCTAGATTCAGGTATCCAGTTCGAACTAATAATATTATTAATTATAATAATTAATAATAATAGTAATAATAATAATAATAATAATATTCCATAGGCCTTGCTACTTCCTACGTGCAAGAATGAAATATGTAGACTGTCGACTAGTTTTAATGATAAGTTATAACTATAATATATTTAAAAAAATATTTATATAAGTAAGTAAGTAAGTATATAATTACAATTGAAATTTATATAACTATATAATTTATAGGTTTATATAAATTTATACATATATATATTATATATATATATATATATATATATTCATATGTATAAATATAATATATAATTACCTGGACCATATCTTGGACAATCTCAGCATGAGTCAGCATGAGCTTCACTGCAACCGTCACTGGCCCTCAATGCTACTGTTACTGCTACTGCTACTGCTGCTATCCCGCCTAAATCGCCTAAATGGTTAAACAATTAAGTTAAAGTCACTAGCGTCTTGCCGGCTACAATTCGTTCACAACTGGCGTCGCCAGCGTGAACTACCCAAAGTTCCAAAGCGATCCGAAACATTGACAAGCCACTCGGGCTTCAAACTCGGGCGCGGAACCACCACTCGAGCAGAACCTTGCGAGGAGAGCGCGAAGCGTTTGATGAAGCGAGCCCACTTGTAACGCACCGTTGCACAAGGAAAAGCTCAAATCATTGCCAGAGCGAAACAATGATATCACAGTATGACAAAGAGGACGCTTGCACACACCTGCCATCGCGAGCCAATGTTCCTCCCCAGTGTCCTCCACCTTCAACTGGACAAGCAGAGGGCTGCCGCCCAAATTCCCGAGTCCCGCATCGAACTGGGCCACCAGAGCCACATACTCTTCATGGTGCTGATCCTTGATACAGGTCCCAGCATGGGTGGTAGCACAGGGACGCATGAAGCTCGGTGTGCTTGTCGGATTCCCCAGAACCTCCGGGTCATAAGCGAAAAGCTTGTCATACTCGGCACGCATAGCATCCATATCTCGCTGGTCGGATGGAATCGTCACAAGGGAGCCGCGAATTGCTGCATTGTGATCCCAAATGCCCAATTCCTGCCGCCAGCAGTTGTGAGCAGATACTTGTTGCAGCGTGCCATCCAGCCGGGCTCCATTCAATCTCTTGATTTGAGATTCCCGCAGTCCAGTGCCGATCGCCGCGGCTTCGGCCGTAGAATTCTGATGCTGCAGGGATTGCGTTCTGAGCCGGTTTCTCTCCTCCTGGATTTTGTTTGCTTTCAGTTGATACTCCTGCTTCCTTTGTGGCGAAATGTTTGCCCACTCCTGCGACAGCATCTGGGTGAGCTGCCGGTGCTCTAGGCTGCCAACTTTGACATGGTTGCAACGAGACCTCAATCGAGAATTCAGAATCCAGAACCCATCAATGAATCAATATGCAGTAAAGTCCCGCAGCTTAGCTACGAACCTAAGTTAGCTAACCTGAGTAACCAAGTAAACTAACTGACCTAATAAAAACTAATTAATGACTAGTAAAAACTAATAATGACTATACTGATACTGTAACTTATACTGTTATACTGATTACTACTAATCAATAGTCATTTATCCATTACTGATAACTTAATTAATCTAACTTGACAGAAAGAACTTACCCATTTTGCCCACAAAACTTTGACCACAAATGGACCATACAGACCATAAAGTATAAATAACCAGGAATAGTAATACTATTTATAGACTATGACTCTGACTGTAGACTATAGACACATGGGACCATGGACCGTGGAGCCTAATCAGCATGAATAATTAGACCATAAATAGAAAATAAAGTCAACCCACCGTGGAAGCCACCAGCAGCTGTTCCAATGCTGCTGCTTAGCCGACAATGAGTCAATGAATGACAATGGAAGACTCATTCGGGCAAGACGCCGGCACTCCTGCTGAAACACGTTGTAGGCGCTCACGTGCCTCGTTTTCGTTTTCGCATCCTTGCGAACTCTTCCTTCACGAACTGACCTGTGTAGAGGCGCGAGCATTGGCAGAAACCGGACAATTAATGTAACCAGACCAGAACAGTAGCAAAGAGTACTGTAACTACTGTACTAGTAGTACAGCTACAGTACTGTTACAGTGCAAGTACACAGTGTAAGCAGTGTAAGTGTAAGTGTAAGTGACTGTAAGTGTGTGTAAGATAAAGGGCCATGGCAACCATGGGCAATGGCAATGGTGAAGTGATAAACTACAGTCAGTAGAGTAGAAACCAAGCAGTAGGACAAGAGATAAGAGATCACACAGCCAAACGAATCGAATGGGGCCCGGACAAAAGCCCCTTGAGCAATCCATTTCTGCCCTTGACCGTGCCCTCATCTGTGATCTTGGCCTTGCGTTTCTGCGTCAACCCGAGAAAGGGTGCAGCAGCACAGCGAGATTTCATGGTACGGCGTATCCGTGCTTTGGCCACACCAAACTTCTCGCTCTCGAGGCAACTACGGACCTTCTTATGCGCCAGAAACGCGGTGGTCACATAAGAGTTTGCCTGCACGCCACCCGCACGCTGAGGAATTCTCTTGTTCGCAGCACTATCTGTCTGGATATTCGCATGCTGTCTCTCCACTTGAACAGATGTTGACGGAATGGCAACGACAATGTCTTCCAGGATTATCTTCAATCGTTGCATGCGCTTCTGCCGCACGGTCGCAGAAACTCCATCAGCAAGGACCCAGGCCAGCAAAACCTGCAACCGCTTACACAGATCTTAAATCAATCAGATCAAGAACCATGAACCATATCAAGTTTGAGTCGTTTGAGTTACACAAGTTCTAGGTGTTACCGTGTTACCGTTCTACAGTTATGGAGTTATGGACCTGGAGTTTTACAGTATAGACAGTGAGACACAGTATATAATACAACTCTACAACAGAGTCACAGAGTATATGAAGTCCCGAAGCCTATCCCGGCCAATCCCCAATTCGCTCAGCTGCCTCCGCGAACATGGGATCGGAGCAACGTGGGCAGCCACAGTGCTGCCGCTGCAAAGACACTGCAAAATCCAGGGCACCGTCTACATCCATCCGGGTCACCAGCAAAAGTTGCCAGGGTAAGCAAGTGTACGGTAACACTAGTCGCCTCCATGCCTCACAAACCCCAATCAGTAAGAGTGGGAGGGAATCGTTCTTGCTTACTCCGAGGTCTGCAAACCAGTTGTTTGCTGTTGCCGGGGACCGAAGCAACTGCCAATACTCGGCGATAGCAGTCTTTCCTGCTCCGCCTGTCAAAATATTCAAGTTCATTTCCACAACCTCGGCACGTGATGATGGGCATTTGCTTCCAGGCAGTTCCAACCCAATTGATTTCAACCTCAGCCTGTTTTGGGCCGTCTCCGTGTACGAAACCTGATCCATGAAATTAGTCAATGGCCTCGCAACCACAAGTGCTTTTGCAAACAAGACCTGAGCGGCACACGTAACTCTGCGATACTGCTGCAACCACGATAACGACGATAACTTAACTTAACTGACTATGACTATAACTATAACTATGACTATGACTAAAACTGACTATGACTATAACTAGAACTATAACTTACTTTAACACCCACCCCCCGAAAACCTAGTAAAAACCGAATCCTAACTACTAACTACTACTAACTACTACTAATAACTAACTAACCACCCAAAAAACTATTAACTAACTTAGACACACTGACACCGTGAAAAAGTTTTAGACTCTTCGGGCAACAGAGGAATCGGGGTCTGCAAGAAGCTGCTGGACCTTGGACATGCGGACCTGCTGCTTGAATGCTGGATTGCTGTCAGGAGCATCTTCGTCAATTATATCCTCCAAAGTCATGTCTCCCGCATCTGTGCGGCAAAACCGCCACAAGGACAGAAACAATCCGTGGATGCCCACCCCTCGCGCTGCGAACTCGGCTGCTGGTTCGAATCCTTTCCAACGATACAGCAACGGAACCTCGAAGCCACCCCCAAAGGCTGCCCGCAGAGCAGAAGTCATGCGTCGTTCGAAGTCTGCATCGGATGCACAGCAATCTGCCGTGCATACATGAACCAGGCCCTCATCTGCAGGCTCTGCCCAATCTGCATTCAGCATCGACAAGATCAGATCCACTTCCTCCTCGTCTAGGAATGTTGAGAAAAGCTTCAGTTTCCTTTTATTTCTCGCCACAGCATCCCGTGTCGTCTGGGGTAGGGTAAAAGCCTGGATCCGCTGTGCAGACTTGGCAAGCGATGCAATACCAGTCTCCAGACGCTGACGAAAAAGACTCGTGCTGGATGCGTGTGCCATACGAACCAGACCTGCGGAACAACAAATCAACAGTGGCTGTCGTCTAGTCTACAGTCTACATAGTAAAGACTCTAGACTAGTTAATTAGATAGTTAGCTGGTAGTCAGTAGTGAGTAGTGATTTAACGTGTCAATTCAATGTCAATGAATTATTATTGTCGAACTTAGCAGTGGAAAAAATGATTTGAAATGTTTGACGCGATCTACAGTTATATCTACGGGCCTGCAGCAACTCCCGGAAGCCGCAATATGATAGGTTTCTTTGCGAGACTACCTTGATGGTGAGCGCAGAATTGGTGCAGCACAACGGTCTTGGCATTGCCATCTTCAGATTCAGACCGTTGACTCAGCCACAGCTGTTGTTCCATCGCACTCAAGAGGACGTTCGTAGGAAGCGCGTCAGTACCTAGTGATGTTGGCGAGTCACTGACACTGAAACTGAAATTCAGAAAACTATACAGTCTGTACTGTACTATCAAGTACTATCTTAAAGATCTAATGCTTCTCGTTCACGCAAGTTACAATTTATCACCACCTTCATTGGAATCTTCGCAAGCAGACCGTCTAAAGCTTCACCGCCCAAGAAGTCTGATGTGCCCTGGCAAGAGCAAAGCGTCCAACGCGCAACCCTGTCCATCAGGGTGGCAGCATTCGCCTGAGCCGGGAACCGAAACCCCGTAGCCCTAAAGCCCAAATCACTGACCACCTAGTCACCTACCGAAACCACTTAGACCGAGACAACATAGACCTAAACCGCCTAAATAGCCTAAATCCTCAAGCCATCTAATATGTTCATTCCACGTAGTAGTCAATCACTCATTCCGAATTTCAGAATTCAGAAAAATTCAGGATCACTCAGGATCCATATTTATTTAGATTACTTATATAACTTATATACTTATACTTATATAAGAACTTATATATATATATATACTTTTATAATATAAATTATAATATAATTATAATTATTATTGATTACTAATTCTTAACTATTCTTAAAGATCTAGGGTCCCCAATTCAACCGCAAGAATTGACAGCATCATCCAATCATCCGAATCACCCCGGTGTCCTAAGCTCTCCACACTCAAGCCGCCACGCCACCAAGACCCGAAACCCCGAGGCTAAGCGTGTACAAACCCGGCCTTTGGCAGCACCTGCGACGGAGAATGAACTTGCGCCCACTCCAGCTCTCCACCAACATACCCTGAAATTCTTCGAAGGCAGAAATGCTGAATCATTCCCATAAGCTGGCTCACTCTGCGATGCCCCAACCGCCCACGCTTCTCAGCTTCATTTGGGCCTGCTCCTGGTGCAACCATAATATTGGTATCGTCAAACTGCCTGATAAATATGCAGTGTCCAATGGGTGATCTGGCAAAAAAAGCCAGAAGCCCTGCAGCTTGTGCCCTCACATGCGAAACCAGCCCTATGACGCGCATTCTGGTAACTGTCGAATCTTTTCGACAGGATGCTGCATAGTGGCAAAGCTCACCCTCCTCGTTCAGAAATTGCAAGTCCTCTTGCCTGAGCCAGTGTTGCATTCGTGGGGGGGAATTTCATACATCATACAGCTTGATCAAAAATTCAAAATCACAAGTAGTAGTAGTAGTAGTAGTAGTAGCAGTAGTAGTAGTAGTAGCAGCAGTAGTAGTAGTAGTAGTAGTAGTAGTCGCAATAATTAATAATAAGTATCAAGTAATAAGTAATAGTAATAAGTAAGTGTAACCAGAATAGATAATTTCAGTCCTAGTCCTAGTCCTAGCTCTATAAGACCAGGCACACCTTCCGAAGTGCCGCTGAGTTCTGAGCCCGGGCCGTGTCGCTGAACACCACGCTAGCAAGCTGATGACCCTGCAAACTCGCCGATGCTTTCACCCTTGCAGCCTCCTCCCTAACCTGCTTCGCAGCCATCCCCGCCGCAACAGCCAGGCCATGCGTTTTCCCCTTGGACCGCCACACCTGTCGCACAGTTTCCTCCCGCGCTGGATTCTGCATTTGCTCCACAACCGGGGCCCTTTGCTTGCCTTTGGCTTCGAATAGACGCCACATGTTCGATGGGTCACGGATCCCTTCCGAAGAACAAGACAGTCTTACTTACTTACTTACTGCTTACCTCTTACTACTAACTAGTTCAACTAGTTCAGACTAGTTCCGAGTTTTGTAAAAGTTGTGGAGATTGGGCCGGGTTTTCCAGCACCGGCATTGGCAAAGGGTTTAAAGGGTAGTTAGGCTGTTAAGTTAGGCAGTTAGGCTAACTTAGGCCGCGGTTTAGGGGTTTCGATCTCGATAAAGACCTTGGACGGGTTTTGGATGGTGTTGGGGCTGTTGGGGACTCAATTAACGCGGGAAGCATGAACCAGAACATGTGCTCCACATGCACACAATGCACGGCCAGCTGACAATCCGACTAAACGCTTCAACTGTTCAACTGCACCTTCAATCACAATCTGGCTCGGTCTGACCGAACATCTCTCACACAGGCGGCGCAGACTACCTGTCCCACTCCTTTCACGACTCCGGTTGCTTGTAGGATCAGGTTGCCTCTTGTCGACAACCCTAGAGCTAGAGCAGATCAAGAATATGGCAACTACCGATAAGATCTGATTTGATCTGATCGAAAACAAACATAACTAACATAGCATGAAATCGGGAGAGCCAGCACCGTGCGGTCAAAGACCGAACCCCATGCCAGTGATGCCGCATGTGCTAACGTCCGCCAACTTCAAAATCACTGAATTTTGCGACGCTTCAGTGGTGAAGCCAGATCGTCTTGCAGTCGACTACCCTTGGGAGCTGGGGTCACTGGAGACTCCGGAATGGAGTCTGCCGTCTGCATGGTGTTCTTATGATTCTTATTATGATGATTTTGAAGGCCAACAACTTCAAGCAAAAACCAAGACTCCTCTGATCCTTGGCTGTCCGCAGCGCGCGATGGGGTCGCTGGGCTGCGCTGCTGCCACGACTCAACGGAATCTTGTGAAGCCGGACAAACCTCCTCCCTGCTGTCAGAAACAATCCTTGCAGGACTATGCTGGAAGACTTCCGATGCGCGCACCTTGGATCCTGCGGCGCTTGCCTTTCTTGCCACAATATGATTGCGGGGGAAATGTTGCAGGATCCGAAGCATGTACATGGATTCACTTTCAGAATCTGTGCTGCCACTGTCGCATACTTTCCCAACAGGCTGCAATGGGGCTTCAAGCTTCGGAGATGTCTGTTGGCCCTGCATGCTGCTTTCGTAAGAATCACCGACCTTTGCAGAAGAGGACTCTGTCTGGCTGAAGCGGTCGCCAAGCGCAGTCATCAGAGGTCCGAATACTTTCTTGCCGACAATTGCCGAAGACATCGCAAGGGACTCTACAGCTATATGGGGCGCGAACAAACCGAACACTCAGTGACCAAGCTTTTGACAAATCACGGCCACAAGAAAGCACATGATTCTGATCTCGAGTCTATGAATAATATCAATATCAATATCAATGTCCTTCAATCTTTCTGTCACAATCACGACACAACTCAGGACTCATGACTGCAGACAACTTGATCTGGCTACGCAACTCAAACAGCCCGAACAGCCTGAGCCCGCCTGGTATTCCGCATTCTGGGAAAGGTGTCCGTGCACTCGTCGCAGGCAGCCGTCCACGTTCTCAAGAATCGCCAACCTTGAGGAGGTATGCAGCATGATTCAGGTCCAGGTTCATAATTCATGCAGTATGATGTTGCATGCTATGCTGCTTCACGCGGGCTATAGGTGCTTGAGTCTGAGTCTGAGGAATAGCCGGGATGCTTTGGCCGGAAGGCCTTTATGTACCGGGAAGCTTCGACGAAGGGGACCGCATGTTTGTCCTAAGTGCAACTGAATCACTCGTGAAACGGGCAAAGGCTTTGCCAAAGAAGCCACATGTTGTCTTTTCAAACTTCAAACTGAGTGAACTGTGAACTGAGAGACTACAACTACAATTTACAACAACTGATAATCGCATCCAAGCATCCAATCCCTCACCGTCTTTCGATAAAAACATGGATGGTGCCGACGAATGCCCGTAGCGGAGTGTGGATTCTTGACTAAATAATTTGCACGTGAACCCAACCACGTATAAATCCAAATCCAATCTGTCTGCATCACACCAGCACTCTTGGCGGTGACACCACCCGCCAAGCCTGAGCATACAAACTAACAAACTGCTCACGCTGCGATTCGTGCGGAATTCTTTAGCAGGCCTCGCATGCTCCATGAGCCCAAAGCAATGTTTCACATCGTTGTTCATCATGAAAAACTGCCGCGTTGCTGCCTCGGATGAACATCAGAATCAACAGTAGACTATATGGCCTGAGAAAGAGTGGACTTGAACGAAGCGACCTCACTGCTGAAAATGCCGAACATTTCGTTGAGCCGCATGACACTCAGATGAGACAACCTCTGCAAAGTTCCGGCTGCCGACGAGCTGTCTCAAAGCAAAGGACGGCGCCCCAGTTCCGCTACAAGCGGATGCCAATACCTTGTCACTCATTTGCTGTCATTTGCTGCACTAATCATCACCGACTGCAATTCTGAATTCACTCCACGAATGATGCTAGCCTGTTTCACAGCCCAGGCACTAAAGGACTTTCCAATCGCTTCAAGAAATTTTGAGGAGCAACCCCCACCACATCCTGAAACAACTCTGGCCAGTTGATGACCTGAAAACACTGATCTCCCAGCTCTGACCCTCTCGACTTTGACCGCGAGCGGGAACGCCCCCGCTCTGCTGACCTGCAAACGCAAACTGGATAGCTTCTGCACTCATGCGCAATTCGTCACGCCGAGTCATGCCCTATACATCCAGTCTCATATCCGAGCAGCTGTTCCCTGTCTTCAGTGTAGCATTGATACAGATCGGATAGGGGCATGGCACACGGCAGGACAGGCTTCACACAGCTATGCTGCCTATACTAGTTATAGTCGGCCTATGTGATGACACTTCTCTGTGCCAGAACTATATCATGAGATGAATTTCTGCTGACGTCACAGTCAAGCTTGTGCCGTGAGGGTCGCGGCCAAGCGGTGGCAAATCAAGCTGACGGCTGGCCTGCAAGGAACAATTGTGAGGCTTTCTGAACCTCATCTACCTAACCTCGTACAAACCACTAACCCTGGGAATGCTTAAGACTGATATTAGACTATATGTTATATAATAATTATATACTTTGGATGTCACCTGGATGTCCCCAACAGGTAGGAGTACCTAAAAGTAGTCTTAAGCATTCCCAGGGCTTTCCAAAGTATGTACATAAGTATATATATATATATATGTATACATATATACATATATATATATATATATATATACATACATATATATATATATATACATATGTACTGATAGTTGCCATCCCCATGATGGTTCTGAGGCTCTGATTTCTGGACCCTCGGAATATGTAGTATTATTATCCAGAAACCCGTTCATACTGGCGACAAAGCGTGTCCGTATCGGTCTCGACGAAGAGGTCGAAGGGGCCAAGCTGGCGGACCTGCTGGCGGGACCGTTCTCCCTAAACCCCCGACCCTTTCACGTGATCCGGTTAAAGCTGCTGCACGGGTCGAACGATCCAAGCGTTCGTCGCCCTTGATCAAAGCTGCAATGCCATATAAAGTGC